TTTACTTTGTGAACGGGCATGACACGGAAACATTGAAAATAACTTAAAATGGCTTTTTCTCTGTATTAGTATTCTAGAGCAATCGTCCAAACAGCGTCCCTAACTTCCAAATTTTATTGCGCATTGTCATAAATGGGATATTGCTGGAAAGGAAATATTTTTCTCTATCTGTGAGTACCAAAAACTGATTTTACCAAAGTCCCGCAGATAGCCAGGTTTTTTCATATCGGGTCACAAATGTTTAAATGTGTGTCTCCAAACTCGAAAATTTTCATACCAGTCTTCGTCAGAAAATGTTCTGTTAATGATATAGTCCCAAAAGTGGGAACTTCTTGTTTTCATCCATATATGTCTGTGTACTTTCTTTGACGAAACAATGTTTACAAGTAACAAAAATATAAATTGCATTTTTTTCTGACTTTGCCTCCTTCGAAATCTTTCTAAAGTAGATCTATGATCTGTCTCAACAGATGATGATAGGTTAGGATATCTTTTCTTTAATATCCTTAAATAAAATACCAATAGCATTTAAGAGTCCATTTTTAATGATAGCCACACCTTGTCATCTAGCATTAAACCACACCAACAAACACTTTTTGAAGTGGTGCTAATTTTTTGTAATGTAAACTCTGTGTAATGCGGGACAAATTTAACTGGGGATAATTTTGCAAGGGCCAGAATAACAGTGTGAATAGGGTATTAGTAAGAGAAGATTAATAATTATGATTAATAATTATGAGTTAGGCTACAAATATAATTAATGATTCAAAAATTCAAAAACTTTTTATAATGCGGTAGGTCTTCTTATGGTTCTTATTTCAAAATTCTTTTCTTCCATTATAATGAACTGATACCTAAGGCAAAAATTATAATTATCAATAAAAAGGATTATTAATTAATAAAATTTAATAAAAAGTATGAAAACAAGTAAATAAAAAAATTTCTATTAAAAAAGAAAAAGTAGGGTTGTCAAAAAATGAAAGAAACAAGGGGTTTAGTTCAACCATAATATAAACTTTAAGTAATAAAAAATAATTTATTCATTAAAATAATTCAAAAATTTCAAACCCTACTATGCAGAAAATGGTAACAGGCAGACTACAATGTAAATAGAATTTTAATAATAATTATGCCTCTGTACCTATTGATTGCTCTACTACAATACTATGATGTAAATTAATTATTGTGATAAATATAAATAAGACTTTTAAGCTAGTATTGATTAAATAATTACTGTCATTCAATGAAAAAAATCTTAATTATGGATAGGCTAATGCATTTTTTGAATTTTGTGATTCAGTACAATATCTAAAATTTAAAATATTAATATATACTTGTTAGAAATTGTTATTGCATGGACTCGCCATGTTATCATATTCTGCAAAGTAGGATTTTGAAATTTTTGTATTATTTTTATGAATAAATTATTTTTTTATTACTTAAAGTTTATTATTATTAATTGAACTATTAATTATTATTATGGTTGAACTCAACCCCCTTGTTTCTTTTATTCTTTGACAACCCTACTTTGTCTTATTTAATAGAATTTTTTTTTATTTACTTGTTCTAAGTTGAGCCTGCAAAGCAGATAAAAGAACGTTTTCCATTTGGTGCTGAAATTTTGCAATGCTTACTATTCTTTAATCCTGACACAATTAATTCTACTTCAGCATCTTCTGTCACATACCTTGCTAGAAAATTTTCCAATATTATCCCAAAATGTGGGTTAGGACAATAGAATATGAATGGAGAAAGTTCCAGTTTCTTGATCCTGGTGAACTTCCTACTTCATCTCATCACCACGGAAAAGATGTGATAACATTCTAGGGCTCTATAAGTCAAATGCGTAACACTTCAGAAGAGTGCAGATTCCCTACTATCTCTAAATTAATGAAGTCACTCTATTCTTTCCTTCACTCCAACTTTGAAGTTAAAAGTATTTTCTTAGGTCACCATCAAAGAGACTAAGCTAAGAAACAGCATAAAAACATGCACATTGGAACCATCTTATTTAAAAACAATGCTTATAACCTTATTGTATATTTCAAGCCATCCAAAGGTATTTATAAACTCATAAACACCAATTTACGGCTCAAATTCAGAGTAAAATTCTGCTTAAATTTTTTATTTTAACGGTAAATGTAAAAAACAGAAATTTTAGCGATTTTTTGGGGGAAATTTCACATTGGATCTGGTGATTTTTAGCGAAATTTTGTTGCTCACTTGAGCAGTTTGATCTCAAGGCACTGTTTAAGTGATACTAGATAGTGCAATAGCAATCATTACCCATTTTTTAGTATGGTACATGCCCTTTTATTCCTACTTGTTAATTCACCTAGGCCACTGGTATGTACATTAATTTGTTACCTTATCTTACTAAGTTTCAGGGCGAGAATAATTGTAAATTTTTTTAATTCCAGTGAAAGAAGCCAATTCCCGTTACTCCCAGTCTTGGTGAACTGAAAGGTTTCAGACTTCCTCCTCATAACGCTCCTCTAAAGGTCAGTTTAATCAATGTGTGTCCAATTGTTTATGATCGTCATATAGTTCACAATGTCTAGTGACATTGAGGATTTTGTGAACCTGCCTTCAACATTTATTCAAAACTGCTTTGCAAATCCTTTAGTTTCTAGTCACTTTGTCCATATGCCTGTGGTACAGAAGGAATATATAATGTGTGGCATTTATATGAATGCAGGTGTGATAATTATGTTGATTTAGTGAAATTTGTCATGGAAAATGGTGGCATTCTGAGTACCAGTGTCCAATGTTGGTATTAGATAATGGACTGCGTATTTTCTAAAATAACTTTGCCAATATCTCTCATTAGGTTTGTGGGACTACCTAAGCTAAAGTACTAGCATTTTAATAAAAGGTAATCTTATGGAAAACATAAAAAATACACTGCATATGGTAATGCTAATTTATATATAGGAGAAAGAGGATGGTGCTTTTGTTTTTGTTTGGCTTCTTTTGACTAT